TTCTTTCTTTCTTTCTTTCTTTCTTTCTTTCTTTCTTTCTTTCTTTCTTTCTTTCTTTCTTTCTTTCTTTCTTTCTTTCTTTCTTTCTTTTTGTCAGCATCTGAAAGCTAAGCCTGAAGAGAGAGGTTACCATGATACATTCAGGACCCAGGCAGTAAAGTAAATCAGAGCATCTGGTCCTTTTACAAGGACAAAACACACTCAGCAAGGCAGAGACCATAGCCAGAGCTATCAAGGATGATTCCCTGAACACAAACCCAGTACCTGTGGCCCACCTTGCTTTCCATATCTTGTCTCATTGGCCCCCATCAACACTGTGTGCTTTAAAGGCAAAATGGCCTTAACAGAGCTGCCTCCTAATTATTCAAGTGCCTGGCACAGTCCCTTGAATACCTGGAGCGACTGATAAATTAATCTCAATCCTCAAAAGAGATGAGCTCTTACTAATTAGTTTAAACATTTATTTAGTGTGTGTGTGTGTGTGTGTGTCATAGCATATGCCATAGCATGTATGTAGGGGTCATAAATGGGAGCTAGCTCTCTCTGTCCACCATACAGGCTCCAGAAATTAAACACAGGCCAGTAAGCACTGTTACCTATCGAGGCCCACTCTTACCTGATTTTGAGAAGGACTTTGTGAGCATAAATGTATTTTCCATCAACCAGAAACTTAAGGTCTGCAGTGTCAGGGTTGTCAAATTCCCTCTTCAGTGATTCAGCCACAGTGAGGTGGTCATCAGGTTCTAAGAGAGCAACACAGCGCTTCTAGGTTCAGTCACAGACAACTGAATGTGAAGGCAAGAAGGAAGCCCTACTCTCTGGGCATGTGGGAAATGCTGATTCCCCCAAACAACTGACCAGCTTCACAAAGCTTTTACCCCTGAATATGGATTCATGAATATGGATTCACATCTCTGAACACTCATTATAAATTTGGCAAAAGCAAAAATGTTTCCAACTATTTCACTAACTGAATAAAATTTTAGAATGTCTGAATGTTTAGGATGATTCTAGCTGAAGATAAAATGCAGTTTTCAGTTAAAAAGCAATCAAGTCAAATCACCTTTAATTAGTATTGTAGTTGCTTCCCAGTAGTTTTAGTTCCCCTTCCCGGAAGCCCACAGAAAGGAAGTTCATTAGATCCTATACCCAAAGGAGGCCTAAGGTTTCCCAGCAAAAACACCAGTCCCCTTCCTCATGCTCAAGATGTGCCCCAAATGCATGAGGATGAGCTTACCCACGGAGAGAAGGCGCCAGGTGACAGCAGGGGTGGCAAAGCAGGCAAACACATCATCAGTGCAGCATAAGTGGGTGAGGTGAGGAAGGATCACAGACTGGCCCCGGCACTGGCCCCACATGTACACATGCCCACCCTGGGTCTTGGCAGCGGATGTGTGGGCAGAGTGACAGGCTGCAATCTCTATGATCCTAAATACACAAACAAACACCACAAGAGATACAGTAAACAGGAGGAAAAGGAGCTGGTCCCTTCTTCCCCTGGGTGCACCTGAGTCAGACTATCATGAACTAAATAGATGGCAGCAATGGGTGGGCTCGAGAAACGGAAGAAAGCAAGACCCGCACACCCCACTTCCTAAATTTTCAGCCACCAAATAATGGACCCATACTTCAATGGCATTTATAACTCAGCAGGGTCTATTGATTACCAACAGGCCTTAAGAGTATGTTCCATCCTGCTTTGAGTTAAAAATGTATTTTTTTTCCCTTAAAAACATTACTAACTAGATAGTAAAGACATAGACCATCTAACTTGGTCCATGATGAGTAATGAACAAAAGCTCAAGGAGGGATGGGTTCACCATATAAGCAGTAGTACTGCAGGAGAGTTGCCCAGAGCTCACCCCGGTCACCAAAACCAAATCTTCAGCCACTCTATAGGAAGAGGGCTGAAAAGTCAGCCTGGCTTCTATTCTGCACAAGAAACAGTAGTTTTTCTTGTTTTGATGCCAGAGATCAACTCTGGGCCTCTGCATGCTGAAAAGATGCTCTCTACTGCATGGACCCTGGCTGCAATAGTCTTGGTTTCATCTAGCATGTGAATTAAATAATAAATGCATGTGCTGGGCAGTGTCTGATGCAGCAATCAGCAGAGCAGGGCCTCCACACTGCTGCTGCCATAAAAGGGCAAAATCGGAATTTCCTTCAACAGCCTTCACTGGCTCCAAAAGTGAAAAGTCACTTCTACAACTGGGCTATTTCAAAGAAAGTGTCCCTGTGAACTGAGTGAAAGGAAGCTGTAAACAAAAGGAATGAAATAAATAAGCAGAAACAAACAGAGACAGTCAGTTCAGTTGTCTTCCCCCTCCCCCCAACAAAACCACAGAGCAATGAGTGACTGGCTGACATGGAGTGACCCTTTCTGTGTAAGGATTAAAACAGGGAACTTCAGTGTCACGCGATTTCAATGAGACTGTTTGGGAAATCTGGCTATTAACTGTACTAGTCCTGATCCTCTAAGGTTAGATATATAACTTATTACAGTTCCATGCCTGGAAATGTAGCATAAGAGACTTCATTTTGATTTTTGAGTCTCATCAGTTAGGGTATGTGCAGGACAAAAGCCATGGCCTCTGGCACTTTAGTTAACACCATCATCACACAGCTTTAAGTGAAATGCCTCTTTTGTAGAGAATGTGTATTTGAACCATCCACTTGATTTTGTAAACCCTGCCTAGTCTCCACTAACATTTGAACTTGGTCAGGCAACTGACAGCATCCCATATCTGGTGCTCTGCAGAATGGCCTTGTACAATAAGAAAATGGTCCAAATGATCTGGCCTTCTTATTAAGTATACATTTTTCAACAGATACGGATAATAGGAGAAACCAGCCAGTGAACTTTATCTACCAGAAGATAAATGTGCCTACTGCTCCCATCAATTTACTGGCAGGCTTCCCACCTCCAAGAAGACTTCAATGCCAGCCATCAGAGGATCCTGGTTTGGATGCAGCACTACTTCTAAGGCAACAGTAGTTTGTATAAGCCAAATCATTTATAGTCTTATATCAGTTTTATTTCTCTTTAAAGAAAAAAAAAAATCAAGGTGGGCAAGGAGAGCAAAGGGTCCAGGCTACAAAGCAGCCATGTCTTACAGGCACTGTGATACAGAAGATATAAAACAAGGCACCCCTGAGAATGGGGCATCAACAGCAGCTTCTCCATGACTATGATCCTTCTAAAAGCTGCTGCAGGAGCTGCTGACTCTGAGAGCTTGGCACCCACCTGGAGAGACGCTGCAAACCAGAGTATGGCAGTCCATACTCTGGTATCCAGCTATGCTGGATCAAAGAACAGACCTGGGAGCTACCAGGTCTGGCAGGATTTGTTAGAGGAACACAGAGCCTGCGAGGTAGAGAAAAACCTAGAACCAAGCTGTAGGCAGAGGAAGGCATAGCAAGACAGGAGGAGGCATATGTAGACACTTCTAAATGGAACAGACAAGTCAGTCTGGGGGCCAATAAGCCATGGGGTTTGCTAGGAACCATGATGTCTTACAACAAAGGCCTGTGAGTTCAGTCTGAATCTAATGTAACTGGTGAGTGGGAGAGAGCTCTACACAGAGAGGCAAGGTAATAAGAGTGTTCTAAGAAGGACAATGTACACAACAGACTGTAAGGGAGAAAAGACAGCTTGGGAAGCCAGCTGGGAGGACCTATGGCAAGGCACTACCATAGCAAAACCTTGTCTTCAAGGCAGAATCATGGTAGACTGAATGGACACACAAGAAGGAGAAGAAGTCAGAGATGGCCCTGCAGTGTGAGCCCTGGAAACTATGGCCCCGTGGTACTGGAGGCTGAAGCAGCACTGAACTTACACACACAGGCAGCTAGGCAACCAATAAGAGGGGATTTTTTGTTTGTTTTTGTTTTAAGCATTTGGACATCTTAACTATCACTAGTAAAGCCACTGGCATTCTCTGAGACAAAAAGACTAAGAGTCTGATTCCCATCTGATTCCCAGTCATGGTTTTCTAAAAGCCCAGGGGACTACTGAAGACCTCAAGAGGCCACAGAATCACCAAAAATTCAAGGCATGGCTAATTATACCTTTTTGGGATAAACTTACAAAGAAGAATACACATGCCAAACCTTTTAAAAGCTTTTCCTTTGGTCGAGCAGAGAATCCAATGTAGATAAGATTTTATTTTTCTTTCTCTATGAACAGGTACCTAACAACTGTATACTCAACCCTGCCCTGCCCCAAATCCAATCCCAGCCTAAAGAGGCTTCCGTGGAAAGAGCCACAGAAGAGTCCAAAGACAGTCATGACCTATGTGTGAGTGAGCCACAGCCACTGGGAAGGGCTGGGAGGTGTAGGACAAGTCCTAGCAGATTATAAAGTTCTTTCTTGCCACATGCCTGCAACTGAGACCTAGCACCGTGCACGCACAGAAGTTCAAGGCTGGGAAACTAAGATCCTTTCAGAGTATTAATCCCTGATCTATGTCGCCAAACAGCACTTGTGTTGGGCAACAGCAAGCGCAAGTGTGCACGGAGGCCGCTGCAGTCTAGCCTGCTGGGCGGCAGCTCAGAGCCCTGAGAAGCACAGCGCACCCATGACTTCCCTTTGCTACCTCCCTGCTTCCTGTTCTCCCTCACTTCAGTGGCCCACAGTCTGTGCCAGAGTGGACCAGTGGAAAGCAGGGATCTCATTCTGGACCAGAGAAAGCAGAGCAATCCATGCCAGTCACTGATGAGATGCTAAGGTAAATGCAGAAGCACCAAGACGGAGAGGGGCCAGTGAGTCACTTTCCTGTTGTGTTCAGGCTGGGCACTAAGTGTCTCTGCTGACTAGGTGGGTGGGCTAAAGCATTTCTGTAGTTACAAACGTAAGCCATCCTTCTGTTTTCATTGATCTCTTTAGATACTTTACAAGTTCAGCAAATGACAGCTATAGGCACTTATATACCCGTTTCTTTCTCTACTGTCTGCCTTACTCCCCATTTAAGGAGTCAAAGTCCTATTTTCAAACTTTTAGCTTAAAAGATAGTTCTTTTTTACAGACCTATATAGGTTATATAAAAATAACCATGTTTACAGTATGTAATTAAAAGTGACAATTTATTAAGCATCCCAATAAGAAAAAAACATAAAAAGAAGTTATAAGCGCCAGCTAATTATTTATCCATACATTCATTTTAAATCAAATATAAAAAAATACTATATGGAATAAAAAAAAGGAAGAACATATTAATTTCTAGAGTGACAGCATGACTGGGAATAAAGGGGAAGTACTGTAATATTTATGTGTCATACAGCTGAGTCAATGATAGGTGGAAAGGCAGTTATATGACTGCCTGAGGAAGCCAGAAGCTTTCGATATCATTAGATCATTTAGAAATTACCTAAGTTCATAAAACTGAGTCTTCATTTTCTAACACTTCACTCCTCTGCATAGCAATAGTTTGGAAGTTTCAACAATAAAATCACTCTGCCTTTCAACTGGCAGATTTTATGAGTAGTTAAGAGACTAGCTTTATACCCAACAAAGTCCCAACATTTTCACAAGCGTTAAAGGGCACACCTCAAATATTACCAGCTCCCCACAGAATTGCTAGCAAGAGTTCAGTCACTGTAGTTTTCACAGAGCAGTGCTGGCATACAAATGATATCCAGAGAAGTGAAAGGAGTCACTTCCCAACAATTTACAGGCCGACTTTTAAAAAGAATGAACAATCTGGCTAAGAGTAATTCCCACAATTCTATGCCACCAATCCTAAGTGCTGTTTAATTACTAAAGACCAGGTTAAGTGATTTGGAAATGTACACATTACCTGTCCTTTTCTACAACAACAGGGGTAGGATAGGACTGGTTACTTTTATTGCCAGTGCCCAACTGGCCATAGGAATTTGCACCCCAAGCATACACTTGACCTTCATCTGTTAATACTAAGGTATGTGCGTAGCCACAGGCAACCTGAAAGGACAAAACAAAACAAAAAACAAATTTTCTCAGGTCTGCAAATAAAATATTTCATCACTTTTACAAAGTAGGTTAAGAACTAAAACGAAACCAAGAGAAGGCAGCCTGCCCATAAAGGCAAGTGGTAAATTAACCAGTACTCTTCTGGTACTAGTGTGGGCCCAGCTGAGTGGCCAGCACTGCAGACATCACCCCTAGTTCTGCATCTGGCTCACCTATGGCAGCCAGCTCTCAGCAGCACTCAGTTTTCTCACATGCCCAATGCAAGACACTTTAATTCTTTCTTCTCGTTACTGAAGTAAAACATATTTAATATGAAAAATGGAAAAGTGTAAAATGTCTCAAGATCAGGGCTTGAGGGTTTTTTTCCTCATATGTATTCAGATATAGAAATATGCACTTACATATTTTTGAGTGATCACATACATATGTAGCTATCTTGTATATTTTTTACCTAACGGTGTTTTTGCATTGCTTTCTCCCTATCATAAAATCCTTTGTAAGCTGACCGTGGTGTGTGAACTGTATCTCTGTAATTAAAAGGCTGTGGCAAGAGGACCCAAGGTACAAGAATAGCCTGAGCAACATGAGACTCCTGTCTCAAGAACAGCATCTGCATCCATCTCTCACTGACAGGCATAATCTACCTAATTGTTCACCTACCATTAGATTACTAAATTAATTTTTCTTACATTCTTCTCAACCATTTATTCTCTCACCAAAAATTCCTTTGTTAAAATTATAGCTATTAATGCATATTAAGTGAATACATTACTGGGTTTCATTATGAGTTAACTGCTTTTATAAGAGACTTTCTTTTTGGTCCTTATGTCAATTTCTCTAAGAGTAGCACTATATGACAAAAGGCATGAAGACTTCTTTAAACTGTTGGCATATATGTTGTCAAAGTTCTTCAGGAAAGTGTGTGCAACTAATATTTCCAGTTAGTTCACACAAGTACCATAGAGACCTCACCTGTCTGAATAGCTGCACCTTAATTCAGAAAAAAAGGGGGCTTTAACCTTTACTTCAACAGAAACATCAAAGCAGCTGCATTTTTCATGTGCACAGAAACTGGGCTCTAGTGCACTGCACATAAATAACCAGGAGACATACCCACTGGACACGGATGCCTTGCAGAGCTGCCACTCTACATGGGGTTGGCTGGTTGCTGCTGCTGCCCAGGCCCAACTGCCCATTCCCATTGTAACCCCAGACATAGACCTGGGGAAAGATAAGAAATGTGGCACTCAGCAGCTCCGTTCTGCTGTGAGAAGCATGCCATGCTTATATGACTCTAGGAAGGCAAAGAAAAACTTTTAAACAAAGTATGAAACAACTTTGCTACCTCTCCAGTGTCCACAACAGCCATGGAGCACATCTGCCCACATGCTATGTTCATAACGACTTTATTCTGCAAACATCCGGTGACTCTTCGAGGAATAGGCTGGTTAGCTGTTGACCCAGATCCTACTTGTCCAGAGTTGTTATAACCCCAGGCAAACACCTATGTGAAAGAAAAGACTGGTACAGCACACGATTTGTACACTGTCTCAACTGGACACTCGCATGTACTCATCACCTTCTCAAGAGATTCACCACTGGTCTCACAAATGCAGACAGAGAACATTTTACTTTATCATACCTTTATCTCTACAAAGAGATACTACAAAGAGTAGAGATAAACTATATTATAATAAAAAATGCTTACTTCACCTCAGCCATATTTTTCAACATTTTGGAACTTTTTTATGTTGCAAATAATACTGTCATAGTGATATAAGAGTAATAATGGGCCCTTTTAAGATTTGGGGTGATTGAAGTCTTTACTGCATACAGGGAAACTTTGTAATATAACCATCATGACATTAAATTGCTATCAAGAATAAGGCTGAATTGGAGGGAGGTGGTTATTTAAACATTTCAGCTTAGTTCATCATAACTGGTTAGGTTTTGACATTCTGGCACAAGCTAGGTGTGATGGCTGTTCTTGATTGTCAACTTGACTATATCTAGAATTAACTAAAACATGGTTGGCCAAATCTGAGAGAGAATTTTTCTTCATTAATTTGAAGGGGGAAGACTCACTTCTAATCTGGATCTTCAAGGTGGGGAAGATCCACCTTTTACCCAGACCTTTTGAGGCAGGAAGATCCACCTTTAATCTGGGCCACACCCTCTGCTGACAGCCTATATAAAGGACATGGAAGAAGAAAGTTTGTTCTCTTTGCCTGCTGGCTCCAGCCTCTCTCCGTTCCTTCACTGACACTACAGCCTACTTCTTTGGGATTCCAGCATATACTGATATACTGAAGACCAGCTGAGATACCCAGCTGGTCTTGGATTGGGCAACTACTGGATTCTAGGATCTTTCATTGGTAGACAGCCACTGTCGATGTAGAGGTGTATATATGTGTGTGTGTGTGTGTGTTATATTTGCATTTATAAGATCGATAATGATAGACAAACATTAATTTTAGATTCATTTTTAAAGTTCTATTCCTCTAAAGAATTCTGGCTAATATACTAGAGTTATCTAAAAAAAGAGAAACTCAATAGAGAAACCTCCATCTTATTGTCTGTAAGCAAGTCTATAGGGCATTTGCTTGATTAATGATTGATGTGGCATGGCCCAGCCTACTGGGGACAGTGCCAACCCTGAGCTGGTAGTCCTGGGAGGTATAAAAACAGGTTCAGCAAGCATGGGAAGAAAGTAACTAGAGTTCCTGCATGGCCTGTCTTGAGCGCCTGCCCTGACTCCTCTAGATGGTGGACTGTGGCCTGTCAGCCAAATCAACCCTCTTATCCCCAACTTACTTTTGGTCATGGTGTTTGGTCACAGAAATACAAAGCAAACTAAGACAGTAACATTAAATGTCATTGCCTAACCATATTTTGGGGGCAGTTCAAGGAATCCATAGAACATGTTGAAAAAAAAATCAGTGAGCTTATGCTGATTATCCTCACCTCTCCATCAGATGTTAGGACCAAAGAATGGTAAGACCCACAGGCAACCTCAATGACGTGTTTGTTTGACAGATTTGTCGAGATATGGCAGGGCACTAAACCATGATTTGTTGTCCCATTGCCCAGCTGACTATACGCATTGTGACCCCAAGTAAAGACTTCTCCATCTGAAAAGAGAAGAAGATAAGCAGCCTTCAGGGCACACACTTCTCTGTAGGACATGACCACACATGCCTTGACTTCCACACATGGAAACTAACATTCAGCTGCAAAGATTGCTCACCTTCCACTTTCCAAACTCACTTCATAAGAGAATCTATTTGAAAACAGAAACTGCTTTCCACATCAAAGTAACATGATGGAACTTAAATAATAAAGTTAAAAAATAGCTAGAAGTTGGTTTCTGAATAAAGTGCTAAAATAAAAGACAGAAAATAGTATGTGAAAAGTCAACAGTGTAAGGTGTTACTTAACTCTCCTGGATCCTTACTTCCTTTAGAGAAAGATGACCAAATTACTTTTTTAATTTATTATATTACTTATACAATTATAAAGATTCATAAAACATATGTGCAATTTTATGGATAACAAATAAGAGAGCCACATACTTCTCAGGTCAAAACCTAGCATGTCTCCCCCAAAAGCCCGACATATGTGCACCTTGCACATAAGAATTTAGTTTTCTCATTCTGCACTTTGAATAAATGAATCACATACATGCTCCTTGTCATCTGTGTTTTCTACCACATGCCTAGGTTGTATTCTGAGTGATTTCATCTGATCATCTGGTTTGATTTTCATCTTTTGTGTTAGACAAACCGCTATACAACTTGTCTAACAAATGTTCACTTGATAATAAACTGTTCACTGGACCTTCTCCAAACCTGCTATGATGTCTGTAGCTCTTCTTTCCTCTGCAGCTATTCTGTTTTCTGTCAGTCTCGTCTGGTACTCTAACAGCTCATGTTAGTAGTCATTCTGTCTGCTGCTTCTACTGGGCCTCACTTTAGACTCTACAGGAAGTTGCTGGTTTGGACTGAGCCCTGGTGTTGCACCCAACCATAGTGTGCTAGTGCTCACTCCTCTTCACTTTCCATCAGCGAGAAGAGCTCCATTACCAGAACCGAGACACCAAGAGAGGGAGAGGCCAGAAGACAGTCCCAAACAGGACGCCTACAGCCTGCAAACATCCAGCTCCCCCCACTGACATCAGTCCTCTCTGTACAAAACCAAACTCTCTGCTTAGCTGACAGTAGCAGGCACTTCTGGAGTGAAGCACTGGCCAACTGGAAGGAAAGGCCACTACAGCCTGCCTTCTCCCACACCTACGGTGCCTCAGCACCCTACACAACTGATTATCTTAAACCCATGTATGGCTTACTGACATTGAAAGGCTGTTTATGTTGATTCTTCCAGGCTTCCATTGGAGGTAACTTGCTCTAGAAAGAATCTGCATTCATTTCTATCACACCCTTAATATACCTGAAGTCCCTACCTCTAGTTCAGAGCCTAAGACTTCTCAGACCATGACACAAACCTACAGCTGCAAACTAAAGCTCATTTCATTTCCTCTTTTCATTCTCTGGTATGCTCCAAGCAAGAAATTCTCCTGTTTAATCCTTAGGAAATGGTCTGCAGATCTTGTACTGAGAATGTAGCCTTTGCAGTCCCAGCCTATGGGAAGTCTCCTAGTACACGCTTCACTTACACAGCTGTAACCATTCACCTCAACAGTGCAAACTTCAGCTCAGAATCAGCTAGGCAGGTGTGCCTCAAAAACAGTACAGCTGGCAGGTCTCCTCTGCCCTTACTTGGACCTATTGTTACCTGACGTCACCTTTCCCTAATAAGCCATCACTCCAGCACCAGACTAATTATTGTTTTAATTCACAAAATGGTCTGAATAATCTCGTCTATACAGGAACCCTCTTCCAAATTCTTGGATCGTTTACCTCAAAGGCATAATTTAATTTTAATGAAGTAGCCAAGAGAATGTTTTCTCTATACTACTAAGGTCAACTTCTATCAGTCACTACTTAATGTCAGAGTCACAGACTGCTAAGATTAATAAGAGGTATGACAAAATCAACTTTTGTTATGTCAAGTCACAGCCCAGGAATCTAAGTTCCAAGTGTGGATGTCCTAAAGTTCAAAGTAAATAGAGTTCTCACACAATAATTACACTTATTGAGTGGGGACAAAAGCGCTAGGTGCACTGTCTTTCATCCGTTTAGATCCCACGTGTTACACTTCCTTACCCTGCTATCCCAGTACATTCATACTTCATGTTGCCCAGTGCATGGCCAAGCTCACAGGGCACAACCAGCAACTCCTGCTCAATCAGAAAGTTTGCTCTCAATTGCAGGGCATCCTGGTCTTACATCCTAACAAATACGCAATGCCCAAACCTGTCCACTGAGTTCCTATTACCTGTTGTTGCAAGGACAATGTGTGGGCCACTCCCATAACTGAGGCTGGCGATCTTTTTGCCAGTTAAAGAATCCAGTCTCCGAGGCTCAATGGTGCTCTGGATATCACCTAACCCCAGACAGCCACTGCAGTTTGTGCCAAGCACAAAAATCTATGGGGAAAACAAAACAAAACAAAACAAAACAAAAACAAAAACAAAAAAAAACAAAAACAAACAAAAAAAAAAAACACTGTCAGTTCAAGCAGGTACATTTCTGAAAACTCTATAAATTACCTCAGACAGCCTTCCTAAAGCAAACTGCCTCATTACAGAATAAATAAGAATTGACTTTCCATATTGCTGTTTAAAGGCTTTTTTATTCCTTAGTTCCACCAATGTCTTCAATTTACAAACCCATTACTAAAACTATGAATGGTTGAATTTTTTTCAAAATTACCTCATCATTGACTGTAGTGTATAAAACTTCATTGCCAGCACTGCCAAAGACACAAGCCTGACGAATCAACTGCAGTTCTTCCTCAGAACAAAGAGAAAAAATTGGCCACTTTCCCACATCTAACATCTTCAATGATGACAGGTTAGCATGTACTGGCTGAAAGGAACAACACGCATGTACTGAGAGAACCAATTGAAACAAACAAACATACAAACAAAGACATTCTTTGACTCTTGATTCTACAGAGTAGAGTTAGACAGGCTTGAAGAAGATAACCCCATCTCTTGTTTTCTGTTCTTAGTGTTGCGCACTCTGCAACACTGCTCACAGCCCACCCTCCTGGACTGCTCCCAGACCAGGTGCCAGTGGCCTGAGCAAAATCAGATCCTCAGAGTCATCCCACTCATCCATGTGTGCACCCTGACCAGCTGAGTGTGAGCAGCACATTAAACAGTGGCAATGGTTTAAATGCAGCTGTAAACACAGGATGGTTAAGCAGGTGCAGCCTAGAGGAAGAAGGTTGGTGCCAATACTTCTGCTGTCCCTATGTACAGTATAACTCTTACGCATTCTGGTTCAGAGCATATCTCTTAGCTAGGTTCTCCCACAGGGAGACCTACCTTCCTTTCACTCAATGGGTTCTGGGTCTGTAAACTAGTTCAGCTCTAAAAATGACTTGATGGGTCATGAGTTCCAATTACAACAATCCAATATAACATTTCTTTTCCTTTGTTCTAGAGTTTTCTGCATGAACAGATCAAACAAAAACTGAAACTTATATATTTCACCCCAGGAAACACCACTATTCCTTTGCCAGTCCCAAGTCCATGCAAGTCACACCATCATAAAAATCACTTTCCCTGAACTGCCCATTATGGATCAGGCTATACTGGCTGGTTTTGTGTGTCAACTTGACAGAAGTTAGTCATCAGAGAGGAAGGAGCCTCACATGAGATCCAGCTGTAAGACATTTTCTCAATTAGTGATCAATGTGGGAGAGCCCAGCCCATGGTGGGTGGCGCCGTCCCTGGGCTGGTGGTCCTGGGTTCTGTAAGAAAGCAGGCTGAGCAAGCCATGGGGAGCAAGCCAGTGATCAGCACCTCTCCATGTATCAGCTCCTCCCTCCCAGTTCCAGCCCTGCTTGAGTTCCTGTCCTTACTTCCTCCCGAGATGAACTATGATCTGAAAGTGTAAACTGAGTAAACCCTTTCCTCCCCAATTTGTTTTTTTGGTCCTGTTATTTCCTTGCAGCAATAGAAACCAAAACTAAGCAATAGAAACCAAAACTATGATGCCAGGAATGGTGTATTGTTGTGACAGACCTGACCATGTTTTGGGAGGATTGTGGAAGGACGGTGGAACTTTGGGCTAGAAAAGCCATTGAGTGTTGGGAGCTCTGTGGGATGTTCTGTAGGACCTTGGAAGATAAGAATGTTGAGAGCAGTGCAGAAGATGGGAGGCCTGGCTTTCGACATTTCTGAGGGAAGATTAAAGACTATCAGGGCCGTTGCTGTTTTGAATTAAGATTCTGTGGTTCTGGTTAGTTGGGGTTGGACAATCAACTGTGATTAGCAGGATACCAGAACTATTACAGGGAAACCTTTGTGTTACTGGGACAACTGATGATGGTTAGCTGGAGCTGAGAAATTAATGGTGATTAAGAAGAGACCAGCATCATTGAGGTGAAATCTTCCGGGAAGTGTTAGCTGAGAGCACAGAGAAGTGATGTTCCACAGGCAGCCACAGTTGTACATTGTGCTGCCAGCTTGGCACTGTGATAGGCCATTGATTGGTAAAGGTGCAGTCTCAGTAGCAGTTAATGGCCTAGGGCTGAAGAGGTTTTGCAAACAAGTTGAGGCTTAGCTGGGTACAGTGGCACACACCTGTAATCTCAGCATTCTGAGAGGGAGAGGCAGGCAGATCTCCATGAGTTTGCAGCCAGCCTAGTCTACAAAGTGAGTCCAGGATAGCCAAGGCTACAGAGAAACCCTGTCTCAAAAAAAAAAAAAGTTGAGGCTTGGCACCATGAAGACAGCCTATGAGAGGCTACTGGTAAAAGCACAGCCAGTTGTAGCAGAAAACCCCATCATTTTGGAAATGCCAGGACCATAGGATGACCACCAAGAACAGCAGCAGCAGTGGAGTGGAGATAGCCAGAACCCAGAATATAAGCTGTGTGTGCTACAGAAGGTGGAGATGGAGAAGTGAGGGAGGCCCTTTGGAAGAGCCCAGAAGATCATGAGTGAATCCCAGGTAATTGGACATGGGTTACTTATAACACTGGAGTTTGGTTTTTCTTGATTGATTATGGCTATGCCCTGATTCTTCCCTTTGAGGAAGGTATTTAAGTTTGAATTTTACAGGTGCCCACAGCTGTTATGGCTTGAATTTTTAAGAGACTTTGAATTTTTAGAGAGATTGGATATTTTAAAGAGACTGATTTCTTTTTTCAAGTGTGATTTCTTTTTTCTTTCTTTCTCTGTGTAGCCTTGGCTGTCCTGGACTTGCTTTGTAGACCAGACTGGCCTCAAACTCACAGAGATCTGCCTGCCTCTGCCTCTGCCTCTGCCTCCCCAAGTGCAGGGATTACAAGTGAAGAGACTGAATTTTTAGTGTGTTTTAATTTGTAAAGACTGTGGGACTTTTAAAGTTATAATGTTTTTAATGTGAGATCTTGGGACTGAACAAGAAAGGAAGGGTTGTGGCTTAACAGTGACGTGACTGCATATCGAGCTGACAAAGAGGTCAGTTGTATTGCTGGTTTTGTGTGTCAAAACACAACTTAGAGTCATCAGAGAGGAAAATGCCTTCAGGTTCCTACCTTGCTTGAGTTCGTCAAGCAAGGTAGATTTCTTCTAGTGATCAACTATGATCTGAAAGTATAGGCCGAATAAACTCTTTCCTCCCCAGTTTGTTTTTTGGTCATTGTGTTGCACTGCAGAAGTAGAAACCCAAACTAAGACACAGGCCATTAGGGGTACTGGGTTTCCTGTGCTGCCCATTCTGATGGTAAGCAGAATGGGCATGTTCATCTTGCCTTTGGCAATTCTATGCTACCTCCTTTTCCCTGCTGCTCTAGGGTCCAATTAAACCCATCACATTTAATTCATCCGGCTGAGCAGCAGCACCTTCAACCCTAAGTAAGGTCTGGCACAAGGAAAAGGGAGACAACAAAGCTCTTCACATGTGCTGGTGCCCTCTCACCATTTTTCATCTTAAAGGATTAGTGAAGAGCATGTCTTCTGGGCCTGCCCATTGTGGAGGATTACCTTTTGATTTTGTTTTTTGGTGATTTTTTTTTCCCAAAAGATTTATTTATTTATTATGTATACAATGTTGTGTCTGCATGTACACCTGCAAGCCACAAGAAGGCTGGTGAGATGGTTCAGTGGTTAAGAACACTGTCTGTTCTTCCAAAGGTCCTGAGTTCAATTCCCAGCAACCACATGGTAGCTCTCAACCACCTATAATAAGGAGGATTAGGTTTTAAACAACAAATCCTCTCCAGCATTCCAATTTCCCTTTATCAATGAATACCAGGCCCATTCTCAGTAGACCATCTTTTCCCAAATAACTAACCAATCAATAAACTCTTGGTACCTCCCCCTCCCCTTAACTGTGAAAGGTTCAATAATAAACCTAGAATCTCTGTTCAGTAGGCTCAAGTTGACAAACTCAGAGCAATTCAAATTTATGTTTCTTCTACCACTATCCTACACACCCTTAAGGTCCACTGTCACACACACACTCCCCAGACTTCTGCTTGAATGAGTTAGCAAACTCATTAGGTTCCAGGAAGCTTGGAAATGCTGGACCTACTATCAGGGAAGGAATCAGCAATAGCACAGTTCTAATCAACCAGGCAACAAGAGGGAAGGCCAAGGAGCAAGAGGCAGGGTAATTTTCCTTCTGAAATAGCTTTTTATCTAGACTGTTAACTGACCACAATCAAGGTGGGCCTTCCACATCAATCAAAACCATCAGGACACTTCTTCAGGCAAGATTCCCTACTCAAGTGATTCTAATCTGTGGCAAGTTGACACTCAAACCAACCATACATCAAGAACCATCTGGACAGCTTACATGCTCGCTGGCCATATTTCTGCTATAGCTAGTGCAGAAATAACAGTGTCCTAACAGTTTGGGAGACTCAAAAGTCCCAAATCAAGGTGTCAGCTAGCTTGTCCCTAAGTGCCATCAGAGAAAGATCTATTCCAGGCTCTACTTCTTGGTTTCCCTTTCACTGTCTGTACTGCCTGCCTGGTATGCAGGGCTCTATGACCAATACTGCCCATCTGATAAACACACAAGTGAGACACAATTAGGACCAACCTTAATGACCTCATCTTAACTAAGCAAATTACTTCAATGACCTCATGTCCACATAAACTGATCCCACTAAGGCCCTGGGTGTTGGACTTCAGCACATAATCTGGGAAGGTCACAAAAACCCAACAGTGCATGATAACTTCATGAGCATGCACACTCCCCAAGGAGCATGTAAATGTCATTAGTGGTCTTCAGTGACAGAGGTTGTGTACCTACACACTGGAGACACTTTTACTTATATACTAACTTAAAAAATTTTTAAATATAGATATATAGATATATTTATAGCAGCCAATATGCTATCAAAAGGTATTTTAAAGTATTTTCCAGAATAATCACCAAACTCATGTTTAATTTAAAAGAGCAAAGAATTTCTAGTCTCTTTCTCACCAGCTATTAAAGAAACCTTATTAAGACCTGAGAGGGCTGGCCACTGCTTTCTGCAGATCTGAAAGAGGATTTATCCCTCCACCTTGGGAGCCAGCTGAGGATGACGGAGCTGACTCACAAGCACCCATTCTCATCAGCATGTTTCTCTAGGGCCCTCACAGACTACTCTAGCACAGTTCTTGAGCAAAGGCAGTCTCTTTCATAACACCATTGATGCCCTGGATGAAAGTTTGTATACAGTAAGTACTGATTAAATGAAAAAAACAAATGTTGACGGATGGCTGCAAGCATTTATTTCCAGCTCTTCTACCCATGTTTCCTCAGGCAAATTGCAAGCCTCTGTGCCAAGAATGATAGCTTCTACTTTCATACTTGGGACAGGAACAAAGGCTGTCTCTCCTGTTCAATTCTGAAGCAGTAATTACTATTTCTTCAGTTACTTTAACTAGCAGAGCATTTTGCAAAACAGTATCAGTGAGCATGCAAAAGTAAAACTGAATTTGAAATCTGGCATTGTTTTTAAACCACACCTGTACAAGAAGCTGCAACTATACAGATGGATAGAACTAGGTCTCTGCTCTCATCCTGTATTTCAGGAAACTGAAGACTTTATATGATGTTATATTAATCTGGAAATCAAGGAGTTCATACACACACACACACACATACACACACACACACATGAATTCTTTCTAGAGCACTCTGTCTCTTGGAAGAAGAGTGAGTTGTTCAAAGTTGGGCCACATACAACAGAACTGTGCTATGGTATTTCAGTCTAAGCATCTATTTTATATTACCTACCTCTTCATATCATGAAGGAATCTTATTTTCTATGAGGTTTGCTTTATTTTTTTTCCTTCTGTAAATTTTAAGAAGAGTAAAGTTTGAAACATAGCATAAAGAATCTAATGGAGGGATGGAGAGATGGCTCAGAAGTTAAGAACACTGGTTGCTCTTCCAAAGGTCCGGAGTTCAATTCCCAGCAACCATTTGGTGGCTCACAACCATCTATGAGATCTGGTGCCCTCTTCTGGAATGCAGGCAGGCGTACGTGCAGGCAGAACACTGTATATAATAAATAAATAAATCTTAAAAAAAAAAAGAACCTAAGGAGATGTTATTGGTGGTCTTTATGGTTTTTGCATATTATCTCTACTTTTAATAATAATCAGGACAAAGATTTTGCTACAGAATCCCACAAGATCAATTCTTTCAAGGTGTATGAGAACAGACAGAAGCCCATATGTCTACACATCACCTAAGTTCTGAGTAAAAAGTTCCCCTAAGGGCACAGCACTGGTGGCCTTGAATCTGTACATCACCCTCACAGAGTCCTTAATGGCAGCAGATGCAATGACTAGTTACTTACGAACTCAGCTGTTTCTCCTTTCAAGCATGTTTTGGGACTTTAATCCTGGCCTTTGCTTCAAAATCAAGTTGCTTCCTTGGATACCAAGAATCAAATGGTAAATTCCAACCAGTCCCTAAATACTTGTCTGTAAGTCATTATTCTGAACTTTCTTCTTGATCAACTTATTCATATATGCATAGTACCTAGCCCATGATCCCCTGAGCACTGAGATTCCAATAGGTGAATGACGTTCATTCAATTTGCAGTCCTAAATTTATTAAGATATGTTACTATGGAGGAGAATGTCAGGTATGATAGAATTATTGAATTAAAGACACAAAAAAAATACACCACCATCATCCCAGGAGATCATAATCTAACGGAAAGTAGCCACAGATAGTTCAAACACACCAGACGTGTGAGCATTTGCTTTTCAAATCTGTTAGACATCTAGATGCTTGGCAACAGTCATACAAATCCACCTTTTAAGTCTATGAGGAAACTATTACATAGGAAACTGATGGCTTAATCTAAAAATACGTAAGCTTTTTGAAGAAAATACTTAATAGCTGCATGGAATTATAGCATTTTGTTCCAAGATACTCATGAGACAATGTACAAAGGTTTACTGCACAGCACATGTAGGAGCCTTGATCACATATAGGTACCAGAAGTATCTATGTTTAAGTTTCCAACTGTTCTATGCCCACTGTAAGGTGGATTGGCTGAAGAGCTGGTGTGCTGGCCAGTATTTATATCAACATGGCACATAGGTAGGGTCATCTGTGAAGAGCGAATCTTAACCAAGAAAACGTCTTCATAGAATTGGCCTATGAACAAATCTTCAGGACATTTTCTTGATTTATGACTGATGTGGGAGGGCCCAGCCCACTGTGGGTGGTGCCACTGCTAGGCAGGTCATCTTGGGTGTATTACAAAACAATCTGGGCAAGCCGGAAGCAAGCCAGTAAGAAGCAACCCTCCATAGCCTCAACATCAGCTCCTACCTTCAAGCTCTTACACTGAGTGCCTGGCCTGGCTTCCCTCAGTGATGGTCTGTGATGTGAAAGTATAAGCAAAAATAAGCCCTTTTCTCCTGAAGTTACTTACAGTCATGCTGTTGTTTCACAGAACAGAAACCCTAACTAGGACAGCTGGTCATGAGCAAAAAAATGTGGGGAGTTCAAGGAAATAAGAGCTTTGCAATATTCCTCATTAAGATGGTTCCATTCCGGGGTGGTCCAGGTAACCCCCCTGAATATGCAATCGCTTCCTGAGCAGCTCTTACACTACGCAATTCACATCCTAACTACTGCTCCTACTTATAGCTGGCATCTCTCTTTGCAAAATGCAAGTAATGAGATGTTAACTCTGACAAGGAAAACACAATACAAGAAATACACTTGCTATGAAAGAGACTAAGGTATATCCTGTAAGTCTGAGTGTATGGCCTGGAACAGACAGGCTCTGAATCCACTGAGAAATGCACTTGGTAACCACACTGCACATGACCACAGCAAACTGGCAAGCTGTCACAATTCAGTTTAAAATACAGTCAACATAGAAGAATCACAATGACACACTGGGCATACCTAGGAAAGCAATGTCTTAAAAAAAATGCAATACCTTATCTTTTGAAGATTTCCTAGCTATAACATGTTGTATGTTTGCTGATTCTGTGAATTCATTTGTTTAATTTTATGAAATCTGTTCCCAGAAGCAATTAGGAATTTTTCTATTACCACAGTTTAAATGTGTGTATGTGCACACACGCATATGTGTGTGTGCGTCTATTTGTATGTGTGACAAGCACATATGGCAATGCAGGCCGGAAGACAGCCTCAGGTCCTCTGAAGCTGGAGTCACTTAGGATTGTGAGTCATGTAACAAGGGCTTGGAAACTGAACTCTGGTCTTAGCAAAAGCAACAGGCACTCTTTTTGCTTAGCCTTCTCTCCAGTTAGCCCTCTACTATCATTTTTAAGTCTCTCAAGCTCTATCCTTAGTTTGTAAGCTACTTTTATGAATTCCTACAGGGGTTCACCCACAAGCGTTCATGTCAGCATGTAGTTGAATTTCAAAATTTTGGCTTCTCTGTACACGATGCTAGCTTTATATAATTATTATAAAATTATTATAATTAATTGGATTTTACCTCTTTTGTTTTCTCAAGTAGAAAAAAGGCAAAGAAAGTAAAAGTTAATATTAATTACACGGAGGTGAGAATTTATTTTGCAGATTTAGTATAGGCACAAGATAGCAATCAATAGGCATGATGAAAGATGTGAAGCAATATGCACTGGATCCTGATGGGGAACAGTACCCACGGGATCCTGATAGAGAACAGTACCCACTGGATCCTGATGGGGAACAGTACCCACTGGATCCTGATAGGGAACAGTACCCACTGGATCCTGATAGGGAACAGTACCCACTGGATACTTTATAAACTTAAACTGGTTTGACTGTAATGTTCAGATGTGGTGAAAAAGAATAAATGAGCATGATGAGTTGGAAGCATATCTTCTATGACTATATTTTAATTTTTTTTTAATATTTAGGAACTAGTAAACATCCAAACAAAGCCTCTTATTGGTCATCATCTGTGAAGAGAAGCTTATGTCCTTATCAGGTTCAAATGCTACCATCCCAGAGAGCCCTTTCTCAACCCGCTAGGTGACATCAGTTCCTTGCTGACCCTGTCTACATCCTACATGCCCCATACAGTTATTAATGTCAGGCACCACACTGCCAGTCTCTCCAAGAAAGACTTATATGATCTCACTGCTCTCCTTCCCAGGTGAACAACAGATATGTTTCATGCAACAGAATATGCATGCTACAAGGCATGCTTTTTTTCTAACCTTGCCACTTTCTCCATAGAAACCAGGCAGTTCTTCTTCCATATGGACTCAATCCTGGGCAGTCCCTAAAGAAAAAGTATGTTGTAAAATCAGGAGCCCATGCCAGATACAGGTACACAGAAAATTGCTATCCTAGCAGGTGCCAGCATCCTCAGCAACTAGAGAGAAGTCTAGGCAACAAAAGAAGGCTTCATACCAAACAAAATTACTTTACTTCTAATTAACAGGGGAAATAAGTTCCAATATGGTGAATGGGTGATAAAGGAATTAAGCCATTAGAATGGCATTCGAGAGCTATAAGCCCTACAGGTAGTTTTCACTGTTCATAAACTCTTTTTCTTTTTATTAATTACACTTTATTCGTTCATAAACTCTTAAGGGAATCATCCTCCTGAAGTCTGGAGAGATCATTCCACAAAAAAAAGAGCTCCTTCTGTCTACAAGGAAATGAACAGAAAATTTCATCTCACAGATGGCGTTTCTATTGACAGAGAAAAACAAATTCTAGACCTTGGTCAATTTTTCTGAGACTAGAAAGTTGCAAATCACGGTGAAGACCAGACTTATTAATTCTCAGCTCCTGAAGAATGTATGAACTACTAAGCTGGAAAAAAAAAGGAGAAATGGATGAAAGGATGAATGAAATGAATGAGTGAACTGTTGAACCAATGAATGCAGCTTTGTTGCCCTGGACTTCAACAGTAACAACAATAAAAGGTCTGAAACAAAAGCCATCAAGTATGCAGCAAGATCACTTAGGTAATGCAGGGGCAGCCCTACTGGAATGTTGGGAAGAATAGTCCATTCCGCTTACTGAACTGGTTGGATTAAATGTAACTGTATGCACACCATAAGGGAATTACATATTCAAGCAGGAGTTATTCATCAGCACCAACCAGGATTAACCATAGCATTAACATTTCATGTTATTCGGTTAGTCAGAATTTTAAAAAATAGCTCAAGACTAATTACTAATATAAAATAAATAATCCCCTAGTTCTGTTTTTTGTTTTGTTTTGTTTTGAATGGTACACTTGTTCTCCACCATGTCAAAGTGACAAACAAAACAGAGAAAACTAACTTTCCCAATTTGTACCATTTGGACTGCGTGTGTGGAGGTTACATGTTTCTCACTATGTCACCTGTGTATCAATTATACTGTGATTATTAATTAGTGCTGTAACCACAAGCCTGGTGTGAAGGACACTGACAGGTAGACTAAAGGTCAGTGCCTCACTCATTCTTTGTGATATCCAGACCATAATCGTAGAAATATACGGCACGATCACTGCTTCCCTTTTATGATGTTTTGGTACCCTGACTAATAGGAACCGCCCAGGCAGATCAGAGCTTAGGGTGAAACCCACGAGTTGTCCCAAAGCTGTTGCTCTTAGACTCTCTCAGCAGGCAAGTCCAACCTGCCACCCACCAGCTACAAGCACGAGGCAGAGGCCAGCCACGAAGGTGGCCTAACCAAAACTGCAAAATTTCCAAAGACATTCTGAGATTTGTTTTGCAATTTTTTTTATAACTTGAGTGGTTCTCCAATGAGACCCTTGTAAATGATGATATCATTTTACAAGTCCGTGGTTGATTTCCCTGGAGCATGAAGTTTTAGTGTGTACGTTCCAGCTTTGTTATACAGAACAGATAGGAACACTTCCTCCACAAGCCTCTGTACCTGGTTGCTGGAGAGTTCTGATGCCCGAAATTTGGTCGGTCTAGATTCTTGTAAAGCTGTCTTCTAGAAAAGAATTAGCGTGACTAAAAATATAAACACATAAATAAATTCTATTAGAGAAATTGAAAAAAAAGCTATTTTCCAAAGTTAACAATCCATAATTTATTAAGAAAAAATGTTTCTTATATCAGTTTTCTTATTTTAAAAAAAAATACCAGAAGAGATACTCAAATATAAAATATTAAAATTTTAAAATGCAAATTTTGGATATTATACTTTTTGTAAGTTTCAAGAAAGGGCTTTAACAGTGTGAACAAGGAAACATATGCAAAGATACATACTAAAGAAAGTTAGGTTTCCATTTTGGTTTCTGAGACAGGTTCTCACTATATAGCCCTGACTGACCTGGAATTCACTGTGTAGATTTCTCTAGATCCATCTGCCTCTGCCTCCTGAGTACACGTGCTATCATGTCCAGGCACCAAGTAAAATCTAACTGAGCTCTTCAACAAAAGAGAAGCCATGTGACGTATAAAAAAACCCAAACTTCACACGTTTATATATACAGGAAGATTTCTCCTTGTTTATTTTTTGAGAGTGGGTCTTCTGTAAAGCCCAGGCTGGCCAAGAACTAATTCAATATGTAGCCCAGGCTGGCTTCAAACCCGGCATCTTCCTGAATCAACCTCCCCAGTGCCATGTTTATAAGCCTATGCTTGAACATGGCATATCTGTGATCTACTTCACTTAAATAAAAAGACCTCAAGGGAAGCACACTTTATATCCTAAAACAATTCCTCTCCATCAACGACTTTCTCTAAGTCCTCTAGTCAAGAGCCAATGGCTGCTTAGATTTGTCTGGCTCATACACAAGCTCTAACAGAGATCACTGACTATCATGACATAACATCACACCAGTCATCCCCCTGACTTAAATGTCAGGGGACATCGAGAAGCAATTTCAAGGTACAATAAACCAGAGTACATTGGAAGTGTTTCAGGACCCAAACCCCATCAATACTCTGTGAATGTTCAAGGCTACAGAAACTGTAACATGGGCACATATCCAGGGCACATCCTCCTTCTATGTACTTTCAATCAGCCCTAAAATAACACCAATATCCTGTAAATGCTGTGTAGATGGTTACCAGTCCCTCAGGCTTGGTGCCTATAACCACAGTACTGGAGAAGCTCAAGCAGGAGGATCCTGACTTCCAGGCCAACCTGGGCTACCTAGTAAGTTATTTCAGGCCAGTCTGAGCTAATGAAGCACAGAGTGAGATCATGTCTTCAAAGAAAAAAAATTAATTTAAAAAAGTGATATATCCTTTATCATTTAGTTAATAATGACTCCCCAAGATTCAATATGTTTAGTAAATGTTCTGTCTTGATATTTCCATTTCAAGGTTTGTTGAATCTATGGTTGCAGAATATAAGGATATAGAAAGCTGGTTATATAGTTTTTCTGAGCACATCTGTAGTGGTTATTTGGCTAGGTTCTCCTACACGAAAGACTCTTGTCTCTTTATTTGCTATGATGAGTTAAGCGGAAAAAAATCCTGACTTTCAACTCTTATCTATACACTAGAAAGGACAGTGACATCTGTCACAGTAGCAGTGTTGAAGGCCTAAGGATAGAGCATGGGGGCATTTCCTCCTAAAAGGATTTTTCATGCCACCATAAATGTCACCAGGTCGTTTAAATCAGAACCCACCTCTGCACTCTCAACCAATTTCCCATTTTTATAGCATTTAACACTTTCTGGCAAAAGTATTAAATGTTGTTTATCATTTTTCACAAGAATGCAGACACCAGAGAAAATGATCTTTTTATTCATTGCTAAATTCCAAAAGGTACAATAGCATTTACTATAAAATCAGTGTCACATGAGTCTGATTTCTGCACAAAATGTTTCTGGATTAAGTCAGATTTCAGTCTAACTTTCACTCATACAGTTAACAATTACTTTGTATGTAATGATTATGGGGGAGACACAAGAGACTCATACAAGTGTTTAATATCAGAGAGTCATCAGGTGCTACAAAGCCAAGGATAGGGTAAGAGGACGGAGAATCAGAGCACTAGCTCTGATGGGAAAGTTCTCCTCCCTCCCGCCCTCTCCCCCCCCCCCCCCCCAAGCTCTGACAGAGATTAAGTCACCAAAATCATCCTGTTAGGGTGGAAAATACTCCAAAGAGAGACACCAGTGCCTCCCCCTTCAGATATCAGGCTTTGGACTACAAGGAATCCGACTGGAGCTGGGACAGGATGGGTCAGTGATGTGCTGGACAACAGGCCTGGCCCAGGGCCGCTTATGCACATCTCTTGCTCTTTAAACCTAAACTTCAAGTCAGGACCTCTAGGAGGGCCTGGATCACTAAACCTTTCTTTGTTCCCCTTCCCAACGTGGCCACATTGACTAAATCTGTTTTTTCATTACGGTCTTGCCAAGTGGCCAAGCTTAGTCTGGGCAGCCAGGGCAACCGCTGGGTGTACTAGAAAGCATCTTTACTTTGTGTCCTTTGTGACCGTCCGGGTTAAATCTTTACCTTGTAAAGAACGGCAAAAAGTCGGCTCTAAACCTGTCTTCAACTCAGGCGGAAGTTCCAGCTTCGCCAAGGAGGGACATTGGGAAAGTTTTCTACCTCTAAACCTCTCCACTTCCGGCCTAAGCAGAGCCCAACCGACAGGCTGAAAACCTCAGGACCGCTCCGGATGCAAAGCCAGGCCTTCCCCGCCATCCCTCCACTTCAGGACCAAAGGCCCAGAGCATCAGCCGCCACTGAGTCAGTGAGGCGGTTCCGGGCGGAAGAGAGCGGAAAGACTTGGAAACAGCAACGCTAGCCCGCGCCACGGCGCAGGGAAAGGCTGGGGACACGGGGGCCAAGGGCCACGCCGGGCTGGGAGCGGGAATCCTCGACTCGCAGCCTCGGGGACGACGCCAAAACGGACCCCAGGCTAGGCCTGCGCGCATGCGCAGTGCTACGAGGACGCAGGGCCCGGGCAGGGACGTGAACCCAGGCCCGCGGCGGCGACGACCTGGCCCCACGGGCTCGCGCGTGCGCGGCGGGGCCCTGGCCCGCGGCCTGGCTGGGATGGCGTCGCGCCCGGCCGCGCGCAGGGTGAGGCCTTCGCCCCCCGGGGGGGCCCGTCCGCGCCCGCCGCCCACACGCAGGCTTACCTCCGCGCCGCGTCCGCCCCGCTCCCGGCAGCGGAGACTGCTCGCCCGCGGGTCGGGAACAGCCGACGCTTGGCGCCTCCCCTTGAGCGGCCTGGCTCGGCGGCGGGTCGCGCTCGGGTTCAGCGAGCGAGACTAGGAGAGAAACGAGGGGAGGGGAGGAGAGTTCAAGGGAGAGGGGAGGGGGACAGAAGCAGGGAGGGGCTGGGCCCCTCCTCCGCCCAGACTGGCGACCCCCTTGCTGCAGCCTGGCGACTTTTGGGGGTCCTGTTTACCCAGCGTTGTATCTTAGTGCCCAGATTTCGGGGAACCTGTGCCTCTCTAGTTCGGGGTCTTACATTTAAAGGCGTTTTTTCCTGCTTACTGCGAAACGAGTCTTAATTGTATTCTGCGGTGTGCCCGTCAAGTCTTACCGGCCGACCTCGTGGAGGGTTGTTTGAGGGCCCGGAGATCTGTCGGGTTTAAAATGAAGGAAATTCTGTCACCTGGGACGATATGGAATGAAACCTGGAGGACGTTAAGCAAAGCAGGCGCAGGACAAATACTTACGGAGCTTTTAAAAAGTCAAGTCTACCAACAGAGAGTAGGGAGGTGGTTACTGGGACTAAGGGAAAAGGGAGCCCTGGAGCTACTGATCAGATTTCATTGAGCATGAGCACGCTCAAGAAAGCTACAGTACTGCTTAGTGGCCACGGTTTTGAACTGTGTACACTAAAGATGCCTAAGAGAATAGAAACGGTTTTTCAGAACAGGGTCCTCTCTGTTAGTCCAAGTTAGGTGCAAACTCCATAGCCTTCCTCCTGCCTCCCCCAGATAGATAGATAGATAGATAGATAGATAGATAGATAGATAGATAGATAGATAGATAGATAGATAGATAGAAGATAGATAGCACCATATATATATATAATTTTCAGAGGTTTGGGTAACTTGCCTCAGGGCATACAACTAGAGGTGAGGCCAGGACCCAAATCCATCTCTTCATTTCATAGGGCCTCATTTCTTTCCAAATGACTTAGAAAAAATGGGTCAGATAATAAAGGCTTTAGTGGTGTAGCTGCAAGCTGGGTCACAGGATCCACAAAGGGCTTTTTGGAAGAGGATTGACCGCATGATTCTGTGTCAAGAGCAAGGTCACACTGTCTGGAGGCTGAAAGCTCAGCTTAGGACGAACACCAACAGTCCTTGGACTTAGTGTAACAGTGGACTGGGCTTAAAGAGAAGAGAAAAATGAAATCAAGACTATATGTGGAAGATGAGAAAAAAATGTGCAATTGAGGTGTCGTATAATATTTTATAGGTCCAAAATCTTTGCCTTTGGACTGTTTAATATTTTGCAAAACATGCTAATAACAAAGCCTAAAAAAGATAAAATATTTTTTCATTTCATTTAAAAATATGTTTTTGAAGATCCTAAATAAAACAAAAAAAAATAGGATCTAACAATAAATACCATGATTAATACGGGTGTGGTTTCAGTGGTATAAGTATGATACAATGGTAAGAAAGTTATTGTATTCTGGGCAATGGTGGTGTACACTTTTAATCTCAGCACTCAGGGAGGCAAAGGCAGGCAGATCTTTATGAGTTTGAGACCAGCCTGGTCTACAGAGTGAGTTCCAGGACATTCAAGATTATACAGAGAAACCCCATGTCTAAAAACCAAAACGGGGGTGGGGGAGAAAAGGAAAAGAAAGTTATTCTACATACATAGGTCAAAGAGATAGGAAAGTTCTGATTGGTTACCTAAAGTGATAAAGTGTTCAATAGTCATTTCTGATCAAAGAAACCTTTAGTAAGTGGCTACTTTCAGTCAATAATAAACCTCTGAAGAGTATACCTAAGAAAAGCAGGGATGGAGATGGTGCTTACGCATCATGCTGTAATGTAGTACGATAAAGATGGAATATGAGAACTGAAACTGGTGAAAATGTTTTAGGTGATGTAGTTCCTCTTCAGAAAGTTTTTGAGACAAAATACTGAACACTGACCTTGAACTTTTGATCCCAGTACCTCAGCCTCCAAGTCCTAGGATTATAGGCATGCACTACCGCCCATGTTTCCTTTCCGATTTTTCATGAGTTAAATTTGAAGGCATTTGTGGATGTCTGTTGGAGAAGGTGGAGTTGTCACGGAGCTAAAATGACACTACCCACTCACAGGGCCACTGTCCAGTGGCAGGCTCTGGAAGTGACCTTTTTGATTATGTAAAGCTTGAGGGAAAAGAGAACATCTGAGCTCCTCCCAAAAAGGCAGGTGACATTTCAATTTCTTCTTCAGCTTTTTCTCCCTTGTGCCTGAAACAGCAAGATGCCCAGACGACGGTTCAGTAGCCCCAGGCTTTGGAGCAAATGCTCTTGGATTTGCACAGATTTCTGGTCAAGGGTGCACTCTAAAGTGGCCCTTCCCAGTACTGGAAGAGCAAGGAGCAAGGTTGAGGACTTGGTGCTAGGAGAAGCATGAGCAGAGCAGGTTTCAACAGGCAGGTTTTGGCGCTGAGTATTGTGTATGTTTATAGTACAATGTTGTAGCCTAATTTACACCAGTTTAACATCACAGCCTGGATCAAGCTCTCCACTGAAACAACGATCGTTTACATGCTTTGCTTCATATGTACTTCTGCAGACTTCAGACCAAAGCAGACCAGCAGGATTGGGCTTCCCCAGAGCAGATACCATCCAAGTTGTTCCCGCTTTGGGCCTGACCTAAGTGTACTTTGGAAGCTTAAGGAAATGAACTGAAAGCTTTCAGAAATATGGATAGATGTCCAGCTACAAAGTCAACATATCATCAGGGAGGAAAAGTAAAACTACCCAGAGCAAGACAAAGTAAAGGAGGAAGGAGTCTTAGGAAGTAGTCTATTCTAAAATTAATCCACAAACCTAATTAGGTGCTAGCAAAAAGCCTAGGATTACTTAACTGCTTTAAAAATATAACAACCCTAGCTTGTCAGAGGAAGACATTTCTGGTAGACAGTTGGTTCGTTGATTTGACAATCTCACAGTTAGGAACTTAATAGTACGAGAACATGTAGAAGGGTGGTCACTGCAGCATTGGCTATAGCTGGAGAACATGGCATTGGTCCCCAGGCTGCCATCACCTTAGTGTGGGTAATTATGAAAAGAAATGTACTGATCACATGTCTTGAAGTCAAGAAGCCCAAGGTAGCATGACCAGAGGACCTGGTGTCTGCTCAAGATTTGCTTTCTGCTTGGTGGACAACATCTTGTTTGTCCCCACATTGTGGAAAGGATAACACTCTTCTGAAGTAGTTAAAGGGGTGAGGGAGCTCCCTGGTGTCTAATCTCTTCCCTTAGGACTTTAAACACTTCCTATAGGACCACTGTGTAATTTTACCACATTGGCTACCAGTTCTAACATATAAATGAGAAAGGACACCACTATTCACATAATAGCACTTAGAGAAACACCTGTATGTTCTATAGCCCACTGTTTAGATAAGTTAAGGCATGGCAGAGTAAAAGACACACTTTTTAATTAACTTTAGGGAAAAGTAAAAATATGTTAAAATAGAATAATTAACAAGGAAAATAAAATCGGGACACATTCAACAGTCAGTTCTTTGTCAACCACCATGTTTTATTACTACTTTCCTCTCAGCACCACCATGCTCCTTTGAAACATCTTAGTCATCTACCAATATTGCAGTTGAATAGCTCTAAAAGATAAAGAATCTTAAATTTTCTAATCAACATATTACAGCTGGTTGTGACAGCACACTCCTTTAGTCCCAGAACTCAGAAAGGCAAAGGCACAGTGATCTCTGTGAGTTTGAGGCCAGCCTGTGAGAACAGGACAGCCAAGGCCACACCCATAAAAACTAACACTAGTTTCTTGGCCATGAAACACTCTATTATAGTCTTAAGTCCTCACATACTTTTAAAAAGTCCCACAATTCATCGGCAAATTGACTTGGGATTGAGATGAAGTCAGGCACAGTGATTGGGTTATAATCCTCCTCACATCTCCTTCTTAAACCCTAAACTCCATCTCCTACCTCTTCTGTTTCATGCTACTTATTAATTGAAGACATCTAGTTACTTGCCCTCTGTTTTTTCCAAAATTCAATTTCCCTAAATACATCCTCCATGCTCACAATAAATAAATAGATTTAGAGTCTTGATTGAATTTATTTTTGTTTAGTATTTTGTTTGTTTGTTTTTTTGGCAAGCTGATTTCTAGGCAGCAGTGAATCCTTCTGTCAGTGGCATGTAAGTAGGATCCTTTCTTTGACGTTGGTAATTGTTGATGCTCAGTGTAGATGGTGGTAATGGTAATATTGTATTGTTTCTGGTTGATTGGAATACATTCATAAATAGATGCCCTTCCTGGATGATTCCTGGTAACAGGAAAAGAAGAAGCAGCATCTGGTTCTTTTTCTGGTTAATCTCTTAATTTTCAAAATAATGGCTTGATCTATTGGTATTCTGCAAGCGTCACTAGCCACTAGGTTTGTAGGTGTTTGGTATTGCCATGAATTAAAATATTTCAGCCCCCAGTTTCTTTCAGAGATCCCTGATTTTTGCCTAGATGGTAATTGAGCTCATCATAAAGAAGAATTCATAGCTTCTGAGTTGATCGCACCAGGCCATTCTTACTTGACAGTATCTAAGGCAGGCACCTGACTGGTACAGGCCATAGACCTGTAGTTCCAGGAA